GGAGGGGACGGATACGGTAGTGAAACGAAGAATTGTGATAGGAAAATAGGAGCAGCGCATATATATGAGATCATTGGCTATGAGACTGTGGGTCACCACATATTCCAGTACACAGACAAAAATGACATAGGCTACCAATGACATCAGACTCAGAGCGTGGGCTCTCATGTTCAGAGGTTGAGGTGTTCGCCTCTCATTGATTAGTTCCGGGTTCGAATCCGAGTAGCAAGGGAAACATTTTCTTCTTTAAAATTGTCTCCTTTCACCTCCTTTCCTGCTCTCTAACAATGTTCTGTCGTCTGCTTTCGTCTCCTCTTTCTGTCCCACCCCCTCACCTCCTTTGCCCCGTCCTCTGGGCTCCTGACTCTTTCTGCAGCCTTTCTACTGCTTCTTCCTTGGCTCCTTATTAATTACTGCTGTCTTTCAGCCACACCTCTGATCATATTTTTAAAAATGTTTGGTGTGGCCTGCGCGCTCATAAGATCTATGACCTTATGCAGTTGCGAGCACCGTAAAACACTTACCATACCAGCCCCAGAGCACTTTTCATAATTGACAACACACTAGGCCTATCATTATTATAAATATATCATCAACTGCAACAAACCTGCTCTTATTACTATATTGTATTAGGAAAGAAGGGTGAGGGGGGTTATTATGAAATATTAATAAAATAAAATGTCGATAAAAAAAAGCGAATTTTCTATTTTCCGAGGCCTTTCAAACACGGGAAACTACTCTAGGAAAACATACGTGGATCGGCAGAGTGGAAACAGAGATTGCAAACATTTCGTGTGTGTGTGAGAGAAATTTTTTCGAAAAGACTTCAACACACTTGTTTTTCAAGGGGTGGTGTCGTTTTCCTTGTGTGGAATTTGCTTCTTTTGAAAGTGGTGGTATCCTATATAAATCTAGATCTAGATCAAGTTATCGGCGGCAGCATGAAATAAATCGCAGTGTTCGGAACAAAATTCATGATACATTTTTATGAGACAATTGACTTCTAAAAGAAAAGTTCTTCTCCTACTTTTAAAAGTCTTTGACCCAACAAAGCTCTTCCTAGGCTAGATCTAGGTTCTAGGTTTTTTGTCCAGAGATCTCTTGTCTCAGATCGCTGTTATAACTTTTTTCCCTAGAGTTTTTATTTTCTTTTGAAGAAACCACTCTCGACTGAAAAGAGTCAAGATGATGCAAATCACAGATTTCCAGAGTAAGTAGATCTACACAGTTCAGTTCGGAGATCAATACTTTGCAAGACTCTGACTGCCTTCTGTTGTCAGGTCAATTGAAATATGAACATGATGTTTGAGATTTTTTTTTTTGCGCAAGGGTTGTTTTTATCTGGAAAATCCGATTGGCTCAACAATTTTATACACCGACACCAGTCTAATTATAATCCTACCCGCCGGCCTACCCATACCCCCCCGATTAGATCTCTTTCCCAACCCCCCAACCCTGCATAACCTTAATCTAGCGGCACTCTTCGGGAGAAGTGGTCGCGGCCTGACTCCATAGACATTTATAGACAAAATCGGAAACAAAAACGGAAGTCGAGTAAAAAACTTTTGAGACTAGATTCTAGAATTCCAACGTTTTTTTTTTAATGTACTAAGAACAATTTTGGCACTAAAAACTGCCACAAACCATTATTTTGTGAATTTAGCAGGTTAATGATGAGTAGCCTAGATTATACAGCTTTACACTAGATTCTAGATCTACATTTTTTTGGTAACATAATTATCATAGCAACTTATTTTTATCATCATACCGTGAGATCAAACACACAGCAACCCAGTGACACCGCAAGACAAAACACTCATTCATGAAATTTTTTTTAATAGAAAAAGCACAGACTGAATATCTTTCTAAAACAGAATGTCTGAGCCTCACATGTTTGACACTTTTAACAAATCATTATATAAATATATATTTAAATGAGTAATCGTTCATAACACACAAGTGTAACTTCCATTCCGACAAAATATTTGAACAGCTTATAATACCTTGTAGAGATACACATGAATATACAGACGGGCACCCACAAGTCTTTCACAATGGTCGAGGCTCACTTGGTGCTCCTTGCGTTCAGACACAGGTCTCTCTCTCAATACTATTCAAGGATGTCCTTCTAAGTTTTAACGTTTTCAACACCAAACCTGTAGGTAACAACAGAAATCTTTTTCCTTAACTTTATCATCACTGATGAGCATGATAGCCAATGAGAGTTCAGTTTTGGCAGAAAAATGTTTGTTATTTTAGTGTTTGAAAGCTTTGATATTTATTTTCATTCACAGATGTGCGCAGCTTGTCACTTGTGTGCTTTTCTCTTTGTTTCATCATTTTTAATTCATGATATAATAGCCTGATTTGATTTGTGCCCACTTTGACTGCTGCTCTCCAAGTGGGTCTGTCAGGAGCTAGGCTCTCCCATGTCGAAGGATCAATGTGTGAAATTCCTTTAGAGACGTTTTCTGAGTGTCCTCGTAGTCTCATTCTTGTAGTTGTAACATATATCCATGTGTTGATGTCTTTCATGATGTCTTTTTTATATAATTTCAGAAATTGGCGTTGGGCTTGCAGGATTTGGTATAGCTTTTCTGTTCCTGGGCATGCTCTTGTTTTTCGACAAGGGACTACTGGCTATTGGGAACGTGAGTGTGTTGTGTGTGCTCAGTGTTTTTAGTATACATACCAGAAGGCTCTTGTCCATACATGTGTTTATTATATATAGACTCTATATGTGTCAGAACTCAGTGGAATTACGCGCTTTTGATTGTATTACCTTAAAGGTTGTTCGTGTTGCTTTTGATGAAAAAAATGTCCATCTATCTTTTATAATAGTCGATGTATTTGCGATTGAAAGAGGTTGGAGCTACTTTGGCGTCAGAGGTAACATTAGTGAGAAAATCAAATGGCTGCCAAAGCTTGGTGACTTCCTAAGCTTGAGTGGCGTTGAAAACTGCAAACTTACATTTTTTGTACCTTTTTAATCAATGTCTTTTGGTAAAATCCACTCAGGAATTTATTATTATTATTATATTATTGATATTATAGTTGTTCCTGATATTACGTATTATTATTGTTATTATTATTATTTATTATTATTATTATTATAATAATTTTATTATTATTGTTGCTGTTGTTATTATTAAGTAAGTAAAATTTGATTATTTTCTTATGGCATGTCCTCAGATTCTCTTCATCTGCGGCCTGGCATTTGTGATTGGCCTGGAGCGAACGTTTCGCTTCTTCTTCCAGCAGCACAAGCTCAAAGCCACGGGGTTCTTCGTCGGAGGAATGTTCATCGTCTTGATAGGATGGCCCATGATCGGCATGCTGGTGGAGCTCTATGGGTTCTTCCTCTTGTTCAGGTGAGTCCAGTGGGTGGTTGGAGGGCGCCACTACTCGTATGTCGTAATTCTATTCTTTTTTTTTTTTAAATTTCCCTGCATTGTTTCTGTCTGTGTGACTTACTTTTTCCCTGGGCAGAGTGTGTGGTTGGAGGGTGCCACTAGTACTAGTAGGTTCTACTTCTTTTCTTTCCCTCTGTTGTTTCTGTCTGTCTTGCTCCTTCTTGCGCTATATATATGACCATTATTGTGAGGATGTGTTTCTCTTTATTCAAGAATAGTTTGTGATTTTTTTTTTTTCCCCCCATTCTTTGTTGCTTTTTTTTGCAGAATTCTAATACGACTCAAATGTCTCTCCGTTTCAGTGGATTTTTCCCAGTGGCTGTTAACTTCCTCAGGCGGGTGCCAGTTGTGGGCACCATTTTGAACTTGCCAGGAATTCGTTCGGTACGTCTTCTTTTTTCACATGTTGAACTTAAAGCACAGTAAAAGTGTTTTTGCATGTTTTTCCCATTGATGAGTTGATAGATGACAAGTTATCCCAGTGTCTCTTTGATGCCTACAACTCTAGCTCAATCTTGTCACATTGAATTATTCTATGCAAGTTATGGAATAACATCAAGAGGCTAGCCCAGGATAGAGAAAGATGGAAGGTGTTTGCCCGTGGCCTATATCCTGGTGCAGGGGGAGAAAGGCAGTGATGATGATGATGATGATGAAGTTTTTGATAGAACATTTATTCACAGTTGTACGGCGTTGTATACAAGGTAAAGGTTTATAATTTCGTGCTGCCGTACGCAGTAAAAGAAGAATTTAATTTACATTTTTCCTGTAAGCGTATGTTTGATTTGTGTTGTTTCATTTTGTCTAGCTATGTCTAATATTTAATTTGTTTCCATTTTGTTTTGTATTTTTAGATTTTGTGTGTTATAGGTGAGGGGCAATTTTAAAAAAATAGATGGTTGGGGCTGTCTTTATTTCTTTTTGGTGGTATCATGCTGGACTACAGAGTGGGTGGCCCTGGTTCAAATCCCTGACTGGACGTTCTTGGTTCTTGAACTAGGGTTGTTTTATTTAAGAGTTTTCAAAGCTGTCAGCCCATTTGGCTGGGTCCTATTGGAGTCGGATGATAAATTCTGATATGCTATTTCTAGAATAACCAAATAGTGTTGAAAGGGGCGTTAAAACTGTACTTTTACTTACACACTTACATGCATTCTCAAAATGATTCTCTGTCCCCCTCCCGCCCCCCCCTCCCTCTGGGTGGTTGGCAGGTGCTCTGGTGTGGTTTGCTCCTTCTTTCTTATCAAACATCTATCGTCCTTATCTCCCCTTCTTCTTTTTTATGTTTGTTACTCTCTTGTAACACCTCTAATCTTCAGGCGCTCATATGACCTTATGCAGTTGCGAGCGCTGTAAAACCTCTACTAAAACTAAACTCCCACCCCCCTCTGTCCACGTCCCCATTTTTGTGTTTCAGATAGCGGACAAGGTCGGAGAGTCCAACTCAATGGTATAGCAATGAGATTAGCATGTCCTGGCTCAGCGTGTGAATCGCAGTGTGTGGCTCCGTCACTTGTACATACAACCATGCTGTGGATGTTGTTTTATGTCTCATGAGAGGGAACATGGGGGTTGTGGTGTTGTTGTGTGTGTGTTTGTTTGTGTATGTGTATGTAAGTGTGTGTGTTTGTTTGTGTGTGTATGTAAGTGTGTATGTACATACAACCATGCTCTGGATGTTGTTTTTGTCTCTTGGGAGTTGTGGCGTTGTTTTATGTGTGTTTGTTTGCGTGTGTATGTAAGTGTGTATGTGTGTGTGTGTGTGTCTGTGTGCGATCGCGCATATGGCAGTGTATGTGTGTTCATGTGTATAGATTTGCTGTGAACTGTGGACAGGATGTGCTGTCAAAGTGTTTTTTTTTCTTCAGTCCTAGATAAATTTTTTTTGTAGGTCTTGAGAGAAAAGAAATTTGTCTAGTTATGTTTTGTTTTGTTTTTGCACTGTTCTCCTTATCTGAAAACTTGTTGGGTGGTTGGTGGGTGCTCTGGTGTGGTTTGTTGATCTGTTTATCCTATCAAATATCTATTGTCCTTATCTCTCCTTCTTTTTTTTTGTATGTTACTCTATAGTAACACCTCTGCTCTTCGGCACTTAAATTATTACCTGTTATTTTTGTTGCAAGTGAAAATCCTGAGACTGAAGTCTTTCTTGCAGTCATGAAGACATTTGTCATGTATGAAGACCACGAATATAGGCCTACTTAGTTTTTCCTTCGTCAAACTCTCGCTGCTCCACTTGTAAGGCTGTTATTGTGACTATACCGGAGGTTGGAAGAAGTACATGAAATGTAACTGTGGGTGGTTGGCAGGCGCTCTGGTGTGGTTTGCACCCTTTTTTTGCTATCAGTAATTTGTCGTCCTTATCTCTCCATCCTTTATCTCCATAAATATAATATGTTACCCTTAAGTAACACCTGTAATCTTCAGCAGTTTTGTGACCAATGTGTGTTGCTAGTGCAGTAAAACTCTTTCGAAAACTAAATCTAAGTGGGTGGTTGGCGGGTGCTCTGGTGTGGTTTGCTCCTTCTTTCCTATAAAAAATGTATCATCTCTATCTCCCCTCCTTTTTGTGTATGTTACTCTCTTGTAGAGGGTGCGATGGTGGAGCGGTTTGTGCGCTCGTCTCCGAAGCGGAAAGTCCGGGTTCGAGCCTCGGTTCGGACACGCTTTTTTTCGACCCCTCCTGCCCACCCAGCAGAAATGGGTACCTGACTTTGAGTTGGGGAGGTAAAGGCAGCGTGGAAAGGAACTGGCCACCCTACCACAATATGCCGAAGGCCCAGGAAGTTGTCTCACTAACAAGGCAATCCCCAATGTCTGGATCGGATGGGGGAACAACTTTACTTTTTTACTCATTTGTAACTCCTCTAATCTTCAGCACTTATATGACCTTATTGTGTTGCAAGTGCCCTAAAACTCTTACTAAAACTACAGGATGTATAATCCAGTCAGCCACTGGGTTTGAGAATATGTTCCTATCTCTCTATAGCAGAGTGTACGGGTGAAAACCGCCCAGTCGCGAGGAAAAAGATGTAAAGATTTGTCACGGAAAGGGATAATGAATGGGGTGTGGCTATGAATACATTAGAATCATCTCTGTATATAATAATAATAATAATAAATGTATCTTGCCTTATTGCTTCAGAAGACTTTACACAAGAAGTATTGTAGGTGTCTATGAGGGGGTGAATGTGTGGGTGTATGTGTGGGTGCATGTGTGTGTTAGGGAAAGAATGTAAAGTTATATTATGTATGGGTGTATGTGAGAGGGGTGAGTAAATGTGTGGGTGTATGTGCGAGAGTATGCAGATATGGGTGCTGCTCTTTGTGTGTCTATCCATCGCTTTTGTCTGTTGCATCGGCTCTCATATCAGGATTGTCCATATATTACATACAGTCAAGCACGCACATAGGGAAATGACAGGCCGTGAAATCTTTTGCTTTGTACGAATTTCACTATTTACATGTTTCATTTCTACATAGAATATACATGTATAAAGAAATATTTGGGTTCTGGAAAATTTATTCACTATGTGCGTGTTTTTGCTGTTTATGTGTTCACTAGGTGCGCGTTTTTGCTGTTTACGTGTTCACTAGGTGCGCGTTCAATATGTGCGTGTTTTGCTGTTTATGTGTTCACTAGGTGCGCGTTCAATATGTGCGTGTTTTGCTGTTTATGTGTTCACTAGGTGCGCGTTCAATATGTGCGTGTTTTGCTGTTTATGTGTTCACTAGGTGCGCGTTCAATATGTGCGTGTTTTGCTTTGTGCGTGTTCACTATGATGTGCTTGCTAGGCTGTACAAATGCAAAAACAATCTGGATCATTTTTTTTGGTCTGAGATGTAACTTGTAAGTTATGTTTGCTCCCTTCAGATATTGTCCTCTATATTTTTATTTGGAATAATCCGTCTTCGTAAGTTGGAGGAATTGACATGTATCCCCCGCAGTCTCTGCGGGCCTGAATGAAAGGGTCGAAGAAACCTGCATTTAAAGATAAGATAAAGTTAGGTAACATTTTACAGGTCTCCACAGAGGGAAATTTGGTGTTGCATGGTAACAATACGTACACACATGCTTCCACTCACACACACACACACACACACACGCACACTCTCACACACACACACAATCGCACACACTCACACACACACACTAACACACACACTCACGCACAAACTCACACAAAAACACACAAACACACACTCACACTCACACACACACATACACACACACACACACACACACACACACACACACACACACACACACACACA